AATAATAATTGAGTTCTTCCAATCACACAGCAAATCCCACAATTATATATATTTATATTTATATTTATTTATTATTTTTTATTTTTTAAAAAAATGAAGGAATAAGAACAAAAATATATAAAATATGCAGATTATATGGTACATATATCACGATATCAAAAAGAAAATAACGGATCGGAGCAGACAGCAAAACGAACAAAATATTAACTTGTCGGTTCTTGCATCTTCCCCGTTACAAATTTAAGTCAATTGCCTTCCGTTAACTATAACGGATATATTAAATGTTTTCAGCATTATTTTGAGTCATCAATCATACAATTTTTTTTTTTTTTATAAAAATTACAATGTAATATGTATTTTAATTTTTATGATAAACAAGAGTTAAAAATGAAATATCTAACATAATCATAAATTCAAATAATTCTCGTACAGTAATTTGTTGATTGGTTAAAAATTATATAATTACTATTGAATATGCAAATAATTCATATAATAAAATTCGTGCACAATTTATTTATAATCTCACTAATTTATTTAAAATTATTCAATTTATTTATTAACTTTGTTAATTTATTTAGACATGATTTTTAAGAGATCTAATCCGTTAATTAGTCAAACTCTTTTGATTATATATCGAGTAAATAAATCGTGTAAAATTTGATTAGTATTAACTATTATTTAATAGTATTTTTATTATTTATTTGATTTTTTATATTGTATTTTATATACAAAAATAAGTAGATATAATTTAAAAAAGGGAGAATTTCTTAGAAATATAAAAAAATTTAATTATAATATAATGAGTAAATTCACTATGTAGTTAAGGCTAAAAGTGGGTCAAATGACAAAATCAAATTGGCATGGTGTAGGGGTGATGATCAAGATACTCAAGCACAGAACATGGGCCTACATGTTGGCACATCAGAGCAGAGCAAATTTCGCAACTTTTCACAATCACTCCTCAAATTTTGCATTTTGAGGGAGCAAGAAATAAAAAAGCTTTCTCCTTTTTTCATCAGAAGGTGAAAAGATTAGCACTTGGTAAAACAAAAGCCTGCTGTATCCCACTTTCATAGCAGTTGATTTCTCAAAAGTTTTTTACCTACCTTTTTTCTTTTTTAACTTAATCCATTTTATCACACTCAGAGAGACTTACAGTGAAGCAGGAGGAGGAGGAGAAGAAAATAACAGAATTTGCAGTCACCGGTAACTTTTTTTTTTCTTTCTTATACCGGTTCTTTCGTTTTCTCAGCTTAAAACCATTCTCTCCCATTCTCATCACACACACCCATAACACTAACCTTCTAAGTTCCTTCCATTTTCTTGTTCTTTTTATATATATTTTGTTCTCCTTTTATTTTCTGCCAGATTCACTGTCACTTGCTGCATTATATGATTAAATGATTACCAAACAAAACCCTTATTATAATATCAAATAATACACCAAAAGCTAGCCCACCAGAGAATTATCTATATTTCACGAAGGAAAAAAGACATTGTCTTGTAGTATCTATAATCATTCCGTGTACTCCTCTCTTTCACCTATAATATTATTTTGTTTCACCTGTAGTCAGTATTGTCTTGTTAAAAGATTTGGGTTTCTTTATAATTTAATGTGGATATAGTTTTCTTTGCCGGGTGGTTGAGCAAAGATGAGAGCCATGGGGAGGTACAGTTTTGTCGGTGCCAGGGACAGGGACGAGCTGGCATTGCCGTCTCAGAGGCTGATAGAGGCTGCTTTGAGTGTGGATGTAGAGGGTGTGACACAGAGCTTGAGGTCAAAGACGGTTGATGTCAACTACATAGGCACAGTGAGCTTGAGGGTCAAGTGCTTTGAGAGTGTTGTGAGAGAGGAAGAACCTGATGATACTGAGGTTGTATATAGAGATTTTGTCACAGATGTCTCTCCACTTTTCGCAGCTGCTCATTCAGGTCACAGTGATATCGTCAGGAAGCTGCTGGTACATAATGAACTCTGTTTGATCTGGTGTATTGACAGAGTACTATATTATTTTCTATTACTTGTTGACTTTTTGTTTTACAGTTCTTGGCTTCTATATTTATTTTGTGTGAATTTTGTTTGATTGATGAAGGCTTTGTAGTTTAATTATCATCTAGTGATTACTCAGTTAAAAACCAGTTAAGATCAAATTTAACATGGCAGAAAAAAATTGTTCCTGTCTTTTATGCTAACTAGCATATGTTGAATACATCGACTACTAGATAGCCTTTTGGAATTTAGCGCGTTATAAAAGATAAGCGATGGTCAGTCAGATATGTTGGTTTTGTGTTTTGCTTGACAGACATGATAAAATTGTAAAAGATAGAATCAAATTGTTTAAAAAGCTTTGATCAGAACAAATATAAATGACAAAATTCGTTTATCGTCCTGCTAGAACAGTGTATTGTTGCTTTTTATAAAATTTTTGTACTTGTGCAATTTATCTAGTTACTGTTTATGAACTTGTCCAAGAATTTGTTCACTATTTTGGTGCGCTGTGCCACATACTTATTCTCTTCTGAATTTTTCATTAAAGTCAGCTGGAGCTGATGTTAACCAACAGTTATTTCGAGGCTTTGCAACAACTGCCGCAGCTCGTGAAGGTCATTGTCTCATTCTTGACATGCTTCTCAAGGCTGGTGCATCTCAGTCAGCTTGTGAAAGTGCCCTAGTTGAAGCTTGCCTTTATGGTCATGCTAAAGCAGCGGAATTGTTGATGTGCTCTGAAATGACGGGGCCTGATGTTGCACAACATGCTCTTGTATCCGCTAGCTGCAGAGGGTTTATTGGTGTCGTGAATACTTTAATCAAGGTGTGGTCTTCATTTTTTAGTTGATATCAGCTCAATTTCTAGTCTTTGCATGCTTGTATTAAACTTTACTTCTGCAGAATGGGGTGGACAAGAATTGCACAGATAGGGTTCTCTTACGCTCAGTAAAACCTGCTTTGCATGCTAACGTGGATTGCACACCACTGATGGCTGCCATTGTAAGTCGACAGGTGTCAGTTGTAAAATATTTGCTGGAGGTATTGCTCTCTTAGTTCATTCACAATATGTTTATTGTTAAAAAAGATCATGTAAATCATTTTTTGATTTCACTTTCAACAACCAGTCTGCCAGTGCAGTTATTAAGCATATAGTGTTGCAAACTTTATATATCTGTTTGGAGGAATGTATTTTACTTTTTCTTGAAAATTGCATATTTGCTTTTCATTTTTTACTGCGTACTGACAACTAAAAGCATGTATGTAAGATCTCGAAATTCCTGACATTGAACCACAGGATCTGCACATTTATATGTAGGCCGGTGCAAAAACTGATTGCTATATCAGATTAGGAGCCTGGTCCTGGGATATCTTCTCTGGTGAGGAATTGAGGGTGGGTGCATGCTTGGGTGAACCGCTTAATGAAATTTGGTGTGCGGTTGAGTACTATGAAGCAAGTGGTCAAATTTTAAATCTTCTGCTTCAGCACAAGATTTCATCTGTTGAAAGCCAACAACAAGGCCGAAGCCTTCTTTGCCATGCTATCCTCTGCCAGAATCCTGATGCTGTAGCCATACTCCTTAATGCTGGCGCTGATGTTGAGTTCCCCATTAGAACCAAGAAAGGACATGAATCCCACCCACTTCATCTGGCTGCTAGAATAGGTTGCATTCCCATTCTGAAACAGTTGATCTTGCATGGATGCCAAGTCAATTCAAAGACTGAGGCTGGGGATACAGCCTTGATGTTGGCTGCTAAAGCTGATCAGGCAGATTGTTTTCTTGAACTCATTATTTCAGGTGCAGATTTGGGTCTGGTTAATAATAATGGTGAAAGTGCAGTTCAATTGGCAAAAAGAAGTATGTTTGGTTCTTCTTTGGCTAACATCTTTCAGAAGGCTATTACTGCAGGAGTTAAAGTCACCTCAACCAATCTTGAGGTGTTCTCTCTACTGCATTTTGTTTCAGGAATTGGTAATGTGGAGCTTTTACAGATGGTCCTCCAATATGCAACAGATGATATTAATGAGCATGATGGGTTAGGATTGACACCCATTATGGTTGTAGCTAGGGCAGGACATACTGAGCTCTTCCGACTCCTAGTTAATTCTGGGGCTGACCTTAATATTAAGAGCCGGGATGGGAAGACAGTTCTATCTCTTTTGGAGCATCATGCCTATGCTGGTGTCAAAACTCGGTTTGAAGAAATACTGCTTGATGCTATGCTTGATCACATTCTTACAAGCTGTACTGAGTTCAAAGCTCTGCACTTTGCAGCACAAATTGGCAATTTGCATGCGATAGTTCAGCTTTTGAAAATGGAATTTCCCATAAATTGTCTTGATGAAAATGGAAATTCAGCTCTCATGGTTTCGGCCAAAGAGGGCCATACTGATGTATGCAAACTGTTATTGCAAAAGGGTGCTGATTTTGGGATTTTAAATGGTAGAGGCGAGACAGCTTTATCTCTTGCAAAGAAAAGCAGTAAATGTAAGGCTGCAGAAACTGTGATATTTGATTTCTTGGCTCGTTCTCACGTCTTGCGGGGGGAGGAGCTCTTAAAGCATACCCGGGAAGGAAGAGGTTCGCCTCATATAAAGTTTGTTCAGATGCTCAAATCTGGCTTATTGACATGGGGAAAGTCCAGTCGGAGAAATGTGGTATGTCAGGAGGCAGTGGTGGGACCTAGTTCAAGCTTCTTGAAGAACAGAAGGAAGATTACTACAGGTCAGAACAACCTGGTTTTTAGGGTGATTACTGAGACAGGAAGAGAGATTCACTTTGAAACAGTTTATGATGATAATTTGGAGCTTTGGGTCCATGGCATTAACCTAGTGGCGAAGGAGGAAAGTTCTTGTGCTTGGTGGTTGGATCAGTAGCTGAGTAAGAGTAGATAATCTTTTTAATGTGTATATGAGGTGATGGTATGGATTTTTAAAATTTCAGCATAGGTTTCTGGGTCAAACTTAGCCTCTGTGCTATATCCTTTACTGAAGAAAAAAAAAGGGGATAAAATATAGAATATGCTATACAAAGTGAAATCTAGGATTGCACTTATATTCTTGTGCTGCTGTAGAACTCATTTCAGGGAAAATACTGTTATTGTATAGAATAGAAGATGAAAATAATGTTTGTGGCTGTGAAAGGTAGATGGCCATTTCCTGTTGAGTTGGAATGAATTTTCTTTTTGGTGTGTGTTTGTGTGCGAGCTATCTATATATATATTTTTTCCCAGATGAACTTTAGATCTTTTCCGCAGGTGCTACTGTGGTGATTCCAGGGCACCATGCCTGCAATTTTAAATTTGACATCTTACAGTCGATGATATTATGTAGTAACATAGTAATATCATGCAGTAACTAGTAATTACTACACCGTGTTACAGATTTGCCATGAGATGTTAAGAAATTACTGCACAGGTGCCTTGGAGGCATGCCACGTCAAAAATACTACAGAAATTCCCTTATTCACTAATGAGACAAAATATGTCTGGAGAGGCAGACGAAAGGCTGCTCTACTCTTATTTGTTGAATTTTGGATTCAATTGAGATTCTTCATGCTGTATTATCTCCAAATTACTTATTCATGATAAATTAAGCAAACCATATATTTCAGAAACAAGAGCTGAAATCAGTTAAAACTCTCAGAAAATTTATGAGTCCCATTTTTAGCAATACACACAGAGTAGCCAAGATACTAAGTTGAGTTTACATAATCTGCAACTCATACATATTACTGTATGATTTTCATAGTCTTGACCCTTTACACAAGCTAAATTATTCTTGATCCAGTAAAGCATGCTTAGAATAACAGAGAATTCTTTGGATTTGTGATAATTAAACTATAACATGTTCTTGGAATGGTTCAACTGGCTTAGTAGTCAACCAATATGGTTTGCGTAGAACATTGAATATTACTTGTGCTGCATCATGAAGAAAGTTCTTTTAATCTTTTTCTGTCATAACTAGAAATTTTCACCCGTTATAGAATAATTAGGTAGTTGAAACATAGCTCTGTCCTAAAAACTCTGCACTTACTAATATATTTATGCGTTGCCTTCAAACTTTTTTTTTCCCAAATAATGATTACAGTTGATCCAAGTGCATTATTAAATTATTTTATCTTGCATTTCTTCCAATCTTGTTATTTTAGATGATTATTGCAGAACCAACCTGACTTTTTAAGCAATCTGATTTCTTTATTAGTTTGTTCTTATCTTTAAGCTTATCTTGGTCTTCACTACGTTTTCTTTATTCATTATCATTTTATTTTGAGATAATATTAATCCTTAGCATACATAGACTAAATTATGTTTTCCTTTTTTTATGTTGGAAAGACTTTTAACTATCTTGGCCATGAATTATGCTATTTTGCAGCATATCCAGAATTAAAACCAGCATCTCCCAGTGCCACGAATCATGGTTTGATTATTTAAATCAATTTAAAAGATTCCAATCCTGCTTGGATGTTGAACATTGATTGTGACAGTGTGCCTTCCAAATTGTTGACTGTTGAAGGTAGAAATTGCAGGTTTTTTAAATGTTAAAAGCAATCTTTTCTGATATAGTTTACACAGTTTTGTTCAAATATAATATATCAGAATGATGAATAAAAAAACATATGAAGGAAACATGTGCAAAAGTCAAATTTTATCTGGGCAAGTTAACAGGAAGAGGAATTCTTATATAAGAAAATGCACCAAGTGTTTCAGCTGCCTAAACTCACTAGCTCATAGCACCTCTGTTTCTCTGAATTACAGAAATTCAATGGGGTCTCTTGTGATTGGAAAAATATACTACAGAGGTTCAGTCCTAGTGATAGTCAGTCTCATCTTACTTATTGGAGACAACAGCTTGATTTCGCCTGTCCATGGGAAGAGCAATGTAAGTATATAGAATTTCGAACTTGTTTTGAGAGCATAAATGAGTTAGAAAATTTCATGTATGTAATTGATTCATTTTAAATTCTTGCAAGAAAATTATTAAACAAAAATTTAATTTGAACTAATCACATCTGTGCAGTTTTTCGACTCACTTGTACTGCTGGAATAACTAATAATTTTCCTCCTTTTATTTGGTAAAAAACGAATAACTAATCACATCTGTGAGTTTGATTCTCACAGATCAAAAAGAAAAAAAAAGTATGACTTAGAACTTTTTCTGTGATTGTAGGTTCACATAATTTATATGGGCGAGAGACAGAGCAAGGACCCGGAATGTGTCACTGAATCACATCATGAAATGCTAGAACTCATTCTTGGAAGGTATACACCATGTATTTGTGTGTTACCTTGTGTGTGTGGATATACATATTGTGCTTGTGGATTCTAGTCATGACATGATTGAAGGAAGACCAAGATTCTTACTAACAGTGTTTTGATAAATACATTTTGCAGCAAAGAGGCTGCTTTTAAGTCAATGGTTTACAGTTATAGACATGGCTTCTCTGGCTTTGCAGCCAGGCTTACAGAGTCTCAGGCTCAAAAGATTGCAGGTATCACTTACTTTCACTTTAAATATTCAGTTGTAGACAACATATCTTCTGGCCAAATTTAGAAAGAACATTTTCTTTCAGGGCTACCTGGGGTTGTTCATGTTCTGGAAAATCGGTTTCATGCACTGCAAACGACTAGGACTTGGGATTATCTCCATCTCTCTTCTCATTTCCCCACCAATCTTCTACATGAAACCAACATGGGTGATGGCATTATCATCGGCCTCTTGGACACAGGTACAAGCTAAGCCAACAAGGATATTTGAAAATCAAACTCAACTCTTGAATGACATATTAGTAGACCGACTTAATTTGAAAAATTCATGAACATTAAGCACTACTAAACTCGAGCTCATTCTAAACATGATTAGGCTTGATTACAGACAAAGTAATCATCCACCTTCAAGCATAGGTCTCTCTTTCTTTCTCTTGTCTGTCCAGGCACCAACCTAACTGCTTAGAATGATAACAGGAGTATGGCCAGAGTCAGTGGTATTTAATGATGAAGGGCTTGGGCCGATCCCAGCTCGTTGGAAAGGACATTGCCAATCGGGACAGCTCTTTAATGGCACAACAGATTGTAACAGAAAGCTAATAGGAGCCAAGTTCTTTATTGATGGTTTCCTTGCAGAAAATATTCAGCCATTCAACACTACAGATAACCCAGATTTTATGTCCCCAAGAGATAATATTGGTCATGGCACTCATACATCTACTATTGCAGCGGGCTCATTTGTGGCTAATGCAAGCTACAAAGGCCTTGCTATAGGAACATTGAGGGGCGGTGCACCCAAGGCTCGTATAGCCATGTATAAGGTGTGCTGGAATGTACCTATGGGCATGTGCTCGAGTGCTGATATATTGAAGGCCTTTGATGAAGCAATACATGATGGGGTTGATCTGTTGTCACTCTCACTTGGCACTCAGATTCCTCTGTTTGCAGAAGTTGACGAGCGTGATGGGATTTCAGTTGGTTCATTCCATGCAGTTACCAAAGGCATTCCTGTTATTTGTGCAGCTGCAAATGATGGACCTGCAGCTCAGACTGTGCATAACACGGCTCCTTGGATTTTAACAGTGGCTGCTACCACCCTCGATCGGTCCTTGCCTACACCTATTACACTTGGAAACAACAAAACAATCCTGGTAGTTATCCAGATGCTCTCTTCTGTGATAAAGGTTACTCCTTGATCATCTCTTTTCATGATTGATTTGTGGACTCTCGCAGGGTCAAGCAATGTATGGAGGAAAAGAAGTCGGCTTTACAGATTTGGTTTACCCAGAAAACCCAGGACTCCGCCCTGCATTAGCTGGGTAATGACTAACATATTTACGATTGAAGTTTCTATTATTTCTGCTCATTTAAATAACAAATAACAGTGCATAATTGCATTGACGTTTCTTTGATTGATTACCTTACTCTTAACATGACAAACATATTTACTTGCAGTGTCTGTGAATCTCTTTCCTTCAATAATACTTCACCAGTAGGTAAAGTGGTTCTGTGCTTCACAGCAGTGATTCGGCGAAGTGCAGTCACAGCAGCTGCATCTGCTGTGAGGGCAGCAGGTGGTGTTGGTGTAATTGTTGCCAGAAATCCTGTTGATGTGCTAGGTCCATGTGCCAACGACTTTCCTTGTGTAGTGGTGGACTATGAGCTGGGAACCCAAATACTGTTTTACATTCGTTCCACCAGGTACTAGTGCTCATTAATGCATAATTCATTCTCATTAATCTGATATAATTTTGCAGATTATATAAAAGTTTGATCTTGATTTGGGAATCCGCAGGTCTCCGATAGTGAAAATTAGCCCGTCTCAAACACTTACTGGGAAGCCAGTGGCCACAAAAGTTGCAACCTTTTCGTCTAGAGGACCCAGTTCCATTTCTCCAGCCATTCTCAAGGTTTGGAATCTCTTTCGTCTTTCCCTGGCTATTTCCAAGGGATATTACAGAGATATCAATCAAGAAACTGATTCTTCCCTGGCTATTTCCCTTTTGTTTACTTTTTGACCTTGCTCTTTGCCCTGTAATTGTGTAATTGCAGCCAGATATAGCTGCACCAGGTGTAAGTATATTAGCTGCAAGTTCTCCAGCAGATCCTTTTATGGACGGCGGGTTTGCGCTCCATTCAGGAACATCAATGGCTGCTCCTGTAGTATCAGGCATTGTAGCACTCCTCAAATCATTACACCCCACTTGGTCCCCTGCTGCTATAAGATCAGCCATTGTCACTACAGGTTGATTTCAATAATAATCCTTTCATAGTGTGTTATACATGTGTTTATCACTATATTGCAATGCTTCTATGGCGATAGATAATAAGTACAAACATCTATCTTGCAGCTTGGAAGACAGACCCATTCGGAGAGCCCATCTTCGCAGAGGGATCCCCTCGGAAACTAGCTAATCCATTTGATTATGGAGGCGGTCTTATCAACCCACACAAAGCAGCAGAACCTGGACTCATCTATGATATGGACACACAAGACTACATCCTCTACATGTGTTCAGCTGGTTACAATGATTCTTCTATCTCCCAACTCGTAGGAGACGTTATTGTCTGTCCAAATCCTAAGCCATCTGTTCTTGACGTGAACTTACCTTCCATCACCATCCCAGACCTGAAAACTTCTGTGACACTCACCCGGACTGTCACCAATGTTGGCCGTGTCAATTCAGTTTACCGAGCTGTTGTTGAGCCACCATTTGGTGTCACGGTGAGGGTGACTCCAAATGTCTTGGTTTTCAATTCTACTGCTACTAAAATCTCCTTCAAGGTTGCAGTCTCCACCAGACATAAAGTGAATACTGGTTACTATTTTGGAAGCTTGAGTTGGATAGATGGTGTTCATGTTGTGTCTAGTCCGATCTCTGTGAGAACACAGATTCTCCAGTTTTATACTGATGATAATTGAATGCTTTAAATAAGTCAATAAGAGAATATGTATGAATGATATAAAAGATACGTATGTAATTTTTTTTTTTTGAGTAATATAATAATTCTATGATTAAATAATATTACGAATTTGAAATATGAAAGAAAGCGAAAAAGATATAAAAAGAAAACTAAGAGTTGACGAGATTTGAGAGGAAATATATTCTAATTTTAATATTTTTGATGATTTTTATAATTTCTATTTGTGTGACTATAATTCCAACTTTTTATAACTGCATATTATTTATTAATTTTTTACTTTAATTTTAAAATTTTAGAAAATAAAATATATAATAAATTAAATAGTCTTAAAAATAATAATTTTATATAAAAATAAAATCAAAATTGAACTACAATATTTAAAATGTAAAAATATTAATAATTAATAAAAAAATCACAAAATAATAAATTATCCTTTAATCTAAGTAAAATGATACGTCAACATCCGCCAGTGCTAGGAGACGTCGGATGAGAAGTTATCAACGGTTAAAACGAATCGGATGGAGAGCACACGGATCGCTGCTTGAAACCGTCGATAAGTCCGCATCTAACGGTCTATGTTAAAGAACATAGATCTTCGTGTCCATCACCAAAGCTTGGCGCAAAAGACCCGATTGAGCGCCTAACTCAAATTTCAGAGGCTCTCTCTTCGCCGCTATATATCCAGTTCACTCATTACCACTCACCACTCACCATTCGAAGCGAGAAAATTATAGAGGCGTGAAGCGAATCAAAGGAAGATTAATTAGTTACTTGAGAAAAAGGAAATGTCAGGTAGAGGAAAGGGAGGAAAGGGGCTCGGAAAGGGAGGTGCGAAGAGGCACAGGAAGGTGTTGAGGGACAACATCCAGGGCATCACCAAACCAGCCATCCGCAGGCTCGCTCGTAGGGGAGGTGTGAAGCGAATCAGTGGTCTGATCTATGAGGAGACACGAGGTGTTCTCAAGATCTTCCTCGAGAACGTTATCCGTGATGCGGTCACTTATACTGAGCACGCGAGGAGGAAGACTGTCACTGCCATGGATGTTGTCTATGCTCTCAAGAGGCAAGGCCGTACTCTCTACGGCTTTGGTGGTTAATATCTCTATTGTGTTTTTCTCCTTCCTTTGTTTGTTTAGTAGGTGAGTTGTTGAATGTATATCAGGTGTTATTCCTATTAAGGTGTTTGATCTCTTGTTGATGTTCATAATTGAAATGGTGGATCTGGGTTTGTAATGAAACTATCTATTCTCTATTTCAATGTCTATTTCACCTGAGGTTGACTTGTCGCATCTGTTCGTTTTCTTATTCTCTGCTTTTCTATAGTAAGTTGAACATATCTGTTTCCTTGCTGAAGTGGCCAGAATCTTCACCTTGATGCTTGATTGGCTTGTAATCGTTTAATTGTCAAAACGGGTGTCCCCTTATTTGCTGGATTTTATTGGGGTTAAATTTATTTAGAGATCTGAGGTTGCTTCAGTGGAAACCAGCGGAGTTTTAGCTGGTAAATTCTGTTGTAGCCAAAATGTTCGATGAGTTGTCTTTGTGAGAACTGGAATTACACTAACATGGTTTAACCTTTGTTTATATATCTGTTTTCCACGATGGAGGATCATCAATCTTGCATGGCTTTCTTCAACCTTCATGCCCATTATCAGATCCACAAAATGACACACAAGTTACATATTTATATTTTCTGTTTTACTTTTCTATCAGGAAAAGAATCTGTAACTAGTGGGTCTGATTTTGCCTACCCTGAAAATTGCCAGTGATAAACATAGTTCTTCCAATTCGTATGATGAATATTTGGAGGATTAGTTCGATTATACCCACATTACGTGAAGTCAGAGTTGATGGTTAAAGACGTAGACTGTGAAGGTTTAGAATTTTACTCCCCTGGAACTTAAAATTGGGTGAAGAAACGGTTGAAAAAAGGGGATTTAATCTATAGAAATTAATGAAATTTCATGAAGCAGTATGTGGTAGCATTGCATGAACTGGAAAAAAGATGTAAATTTACATGGAAAATGTTAAATGGTACAAGTCGTGCATTTCAGAAAACTAGGCAGGCATCAATGGTGGATCCGGCTAAATTGGCCTTTAGCAGGGAACAGCATGGATCTACACAAGGGGCATGTGACCTGCCCCTGATCCACCCAGGTATCCAGACAGCCTCTGTGGAAGACATGGCAGCAATTAACCAGCTCTCTAATCTCTTGGCTTTTCTGGATTTCACTTAGACAGACTCTACATCCCATATCTTCTTCTTCTTCTTCTTCTTCTTCATGCCGAGGTCTAAATCTTTGTCTGTAACTGCTGTACTCAACAACCGGAAGCTCGTTCTTGATTAATTCCATTAGCTCCTGAATAGGGACTGTTATTACCGACGGACATGGACCTTCCACGACGAAGACATAGCTGGCTGAGAGCTCCTCCGAATCATCTTGTTCTGCTGGTGGCTTGAGTAGTAGATTCAGGTGAGTGATTGCTTCTGTAACTATCAGTCGCGTAAAGTAAAATACTTGGTGTAGCACAGATGTGATGCTGATTAATTCTGGCATCTTTTTCGCAGCAGCTACAGGATGTAGATCACCTTTCTTGATCTTTTCAGATGGAGAAGAAAAGACAGAGAGAGAGAGAGAGAGAGAGAGAGAGAGAGAGAGAGAGAGAGGGAGTGAAGAAGAAGATGGAGCGAGAGGATTGCAAAAGTTTATAAAGTAAAATGCCGTGATGGTAAAGTTCGAAGTTTTTAAATAAAGAATTTGCCTGTGGGCTTCTGTTTCTTTCTCGCGGGGGTAAAAGCTTCTCATGCATTACCACATCGCACGGTTTCCAAAGGTTTTTTTTTTTTTTGTCTTGTTAAAATATAAATTATAATATTTAATTTATTTAAATCTATTTTATTCTCGTTCAGTTAATTGTTGAGATATTAAAGTGTTTCCTAATTCAGTAACTCTAGTCATATCTTCAATTTTATAATGATGAATTTATATTCTTTTTTCTTTTTTTTTTGTAAGAAAATATCTGAACAAATTACAGAACATTTATTTTGAATTGAACATGGAGTTGTTTGGATGCTATTTTGATTTAAAATTACTTCACATTTTTATTGTAATTTTATAAAATTAAAATTTAAATAAACTCGACATAAACATTTTAAGTATGTACTAAATTAATTTAATTTTTATCAGAATATACAAATAATATTTATTTATTTTATGCTAATTAATTAACTTACTAATTTTATAAATATATAATTTATAAAATTTTAATTCTATCTACAAAAAATGTGTAAATAAAAAAATAACGAAATATATCATCAATATGTATACACATATAATGTAACGCCCCAATTTTAGCTTTCAGCGTCATTATAACTATCCTTTTACCATATGTGGCATAACATGTATCATTTCATAAATAAATTCGGTCATGCATATAGAAAATATTTTAATCAAATCATTCAAATTTTTAAAATTTCTCCATTGTATATCTATCAATACAGTAGCTTACGAATTCACAATTTCTTGTTTCAAAATGAATTACTTACTACTAACTATGTAATTATTCTGTTTCACTAACCATACTCCCTACTTCGT